AGTAGTAGTAGTAGTAGTAGTAGTAGTAGTAGTAGTAGTAGTAGTAGTAGTAGTAGTAGTAGTAGTAGTAGTAGTAGTAGTAGTAGTAGTAGTGATAGTAGTAGTGATAGTAGTAGTAATAGTAGTAGTAGAAGTAGTAGTGGTAATAGTACTAGCATACGCAGGTAGCATATATAGTACATGTATCCATAGTAGCAATATATAACAATATATGCATATATGCCGTGATCGCAGCAGCAGTCGAGGTAGCAAGAATCCTTCCTACCATGACTACGAACATGTATCGGTGGGCATCATCAAGACATCGAACGACTCATCATTCGTCCTGATGAGATGATGTATTATCTGTATCACCACCAGTTGGGATACCAGCTCTTGCAAGTCACCACGACGCAGCAGAAGAATACGAGTACATGTATACAGATTACTCCGTGCTCGTACTCGGTCAGGGCCAATGATATCTCTGGCCGGATCGCACGCCCTCCCTACAAGGGAGTCGCTATAGTAATCGACACTACGTGATACACGATAATATACGACTAGAGTAGGAGTATCCGCAATACTCGCTGTTTCGCAGTGCATATCCAGTGCCAGTAACACTCGTAGTACTATGCGTGCAGCCGGGACGGGTATAATGAATAGTCTGTACAGATTACATGTGGCGTTGCTATTAGTCTACCTACTCCGTACCGACGGCATGTATATACATACATATATATATATATATGTACGTATATATATATGTGTATATATAAATATACAAGTATATATATACGAGTACATAGGCTAATTACTAGCATGTAACATTACCTAGCGTTGCCTCGTACGAGTGGTTTACTAGTACTCGTACTATTACTAGTAATAGTAGTATTATTACTTGGTTTTTCTCGGCATCAGATACTATTAATATTAATATTACTATTATTATTATTACTGCTACTATTGCTACTACTCTATTACTACTCTTCTGAGCAGCTGTCTACTACGATTAGCAGTCGTAAATAAGAAAACCATCACTCTACAGAGTATCCGTACTCGTACGTTGTCGTATTACTCCTTCCCTCGTAGAGCATACGTCCGTCGTACCTGCCTTCTTACTGTAGTACGGATCCTTTCTCGTCTTTTTTATTCGGCAACTTACGTTCACTTCACTTTTGTCTTCCCCATCTCCAATCTCTCCTCTCTCTCTCCTCCCC